CTCTCTCTCTCTCTCTCTCAACAACATCAAAATTGGTAATCGGTCTACCTTCTCCTTCTATTATATTGGTGCTCGGAAACTACCACCTATACCACCATTGTCGCCCCTTACTTGTGCAACACCACCCATCCCTAGCAAACTCCGGTGACAATGGCTTGCAACCCAGACGCAAACTCTAGCGACGTGACCCACCTACCACCGCCCCTTCGTCTTCTCTGGTAGCTCTATATGTTCGTTTCCAGATCTGCAAATGAGACCGGCATACCCGATCTTTTCTTTAAACCTATTGATCTGCAGATTCTAACCCGAGGAAGAAGAGAGAGGTGATAAAACCCTTCATATGGAAAGTCGACGTTTTTAAACCATCGATTTTCCTATGTTTCAGGTCTTCTGGGAGGGAGAGGCATTTGGAAAAAATCGATGAATGGTGGTTTGGTGGTCAGCGGTGAAGGGTCATCTGGTTAAGGAAGAAGAGGTGAGGGTAGGGGTTGATGAAGGTGGTTGGCAGCGAATAACAGTGGAGAACGAAGATGGTGGTGAATGACGATCACATCATCTTCTATGGAAGTGGTGGTGACTGATGAAAATCCTAATCATTGAAAGACGGAGATGGTGGTATTTGGGTAGGGACATCACCAATCAGAATGGTGGTGATGGTGGGGAAATTTCATTGAGGTCTGAGGAAAGAAAGATGGGTGAGGGTGGGATTGGTTGTTTGTAGTGGAGGGTGGTGGCAGTCGGTGGTGATGGTGGTGGACAGTGGTAGTTGTTGGTGGTTGCAGTCTGTGGTGATGGTGGCATCCATTAGGGGTGATATGTTTCTTGAGGGTGTGTGTGTGTTTCTTTTGTTGATAGAGAAAAGACAAATGAAATATAAATGAAAAATATAAATTAAATTAATTTATGTATTTCAGCAATTAAAGAAAATGAAAAATATAAATTATAAGGGCATAATTGTCTTTTTAAGTGTGTAGGGGCCAAAAACAATAAAAAGTTCCAAAATTGGACTACTGATGCACCATTAAACTTTTTTGGACCAAAGTCACAAAATTTTACCAACAACAGAGACCATTTTTGCAATTTTGTCTTTTGCAAATGCCCAAAAATTAGATCATTTTCTTATATTTTCCAAATTATGTTACCAGTTTTGTAAATATCCCGATTTTAAGTAGGTCTGGCAATCGTGTCGTGTTCGGGTTGGCGTGTCGCGGGTTGGCAGGTCAAAATATATCAACCCAAACACGACCCATTTAAATATACATGTCACGGGTTGGCAGGTCACGGGTTGGCGGGTTTGGAACATTAACCCATATATGGCCCGCCAACCCATTTATTTATACGGGTTCACAGGTTGGCGGGTTTGTGGGTCAGATTTGGGTTCGTGGCTCAAATTCCATAAATAAAATTGACAATTAAACATGAATAAATTCTTGATGGTTGATGCAAACATATTCGAATTTTAGACACTTAAGTTTTAAACATCCAAGTAAAAATTAAAAACATTCATAGAAACATGTTCAAACTAAACATTAATACAAACATAGATAATTCAACTGCTAAAGTAATAGCCACAATTCCCATTTTTTCTCCCAAAAAACAAAGTCAATTCTCCAACACCATTTCGATACCTGATTTCGATCACAGAGTAATAGAGGGGATAGTAGGACTGTGGGAGACCGGGACATTGGAAGTCTGGAAGAGGGAGATACGCTCATACGCAATTTGATTTTGAGAAGCACGAGTCAAAATGTCAAAACAGTCAAATGGTCTACGAATCAATGGTATATATTATATAATACTTATTAAATATTATTACTTGATACATAATAGATTTAAAAATAAAATAATTTTTTTTATTAAAATTATAAACGGGTTGGCGGGTCAATCCGTTTATTTTTTGAGAAACCCATATATGACCCGTTTAATAAACGGGTTGGCGGGTTGAAAAACTCAACCCAAACCCATTTATTTCGTATCGTGTCGCAGGTCGTGTCGAGAATTGTCAGCCCTAATTTTAAGGGTTATGAGGTAATAATGTGAAGAAATGTGAGGACTAATAATGAAACTCTGAAACTTGAGTAAATATATAAAAGGTGATAATTACTTTCTTATTGTTTTCACTACCTCGTTAATCTATCCGAAGAACTGGGAGAACAGAGTGAACGGTAGCTACCTACTCAAATCGATCCAAGTTGAAAGGATAAATTAAGGATACATACTATTGAAGTTGAAGTATAAACCCTCAAAGTAATGAGATAGAAAGGGTTTCAGCTAAAGTTTGGTGTCGCTGGGAATTTGAGGTACGTTCGTCAAACTGATAAATTGATGAATTATAAGTTACCAAGAAAGAAATGGATGTGTTAATGAAGTTTTATATAATGTGTTGAGTAAATTTTATCAAATGGTTAAAAATATGTCGACCCGGAATGTGAGAAACGTATTTTGACCTAATTTAGTCAAAGTTGTGAAAGTTGTGACCTAATTTAGTCAAAGTTGTGAAATTTTGGAATTAGTTAGTTAGGTTATCAAATTAAACAATCTGTGAAGTTAATATGCTGTTGTGTATGTTATATATGAATGGAATTTGGAAGAAAACGAGTCTAATGATGTGTATATGTGTTGTGGATACTAAAAGAAAGTGAAACAGGGGGTTGGTCCCTTGTGCGCTGCTGTGTGTTTGTTGAGAAAATACAAGTATGCTTGCCACTATTTGAATTTTTGTATTGCTACGTTTAAGCACCAAATACCTAGGAAACTCTTTATTAGTAGATAACATTATAATTGGATCAAAGATACTACTCATTTACTGATTACCAATTCTGGTGTTTCAAATCCAATCTGGTTATTTCAAGTTAACCTTTATAAATCAAATACAAGTTATAGGTGTTGGTGGGAAAGCAAAAGTTCGTAATATAAGCCTTGTGAAACGCATATATTCGGGTTGTATGTTTATACAGCGATAGTAAATCAATAGACTTATACTTAATACAATCGTAGTAAATCAATAGACTAATACTTAATGATGGTTACGAGTGTGAATTTTAGTAGATGGTATCATTGTAAAAGTTATAATATAGTGACTTAGTGATGTCCTCTTGGAAGGCTATATACGTATTTGGGAAATGGGCTTAATAAGGTAATTAACTTTTCGGTTTGTTCACATCTGGGTAACTATCTTTTTTTGTATACATTTAGGTAACGAACTTTTTGTAAGTGTTCACATATGACCATTATGACCGGCTGTAGCGGGTTACATCCAGTCATAATGGTCATATGTGAACACTTCCAAAAAGTTCGTTACCTAGATGTGTACAAAAAAAAGATAGTTACCCAGATTTGAACAAACCGAAAAGGTAAGAGTAAATTACACGAATGGTCCCTGTAGTTTAGGTAATTTGTGCGTTTGGTCCCTAACTTATTTTTTAACGTGGATGATCCTTACTGTTTATTTTTGTTGTGCGTTTGGTCACTGTCTTACCTCAAAAGACTATTGTGCCCTTTTTTAATTAATTTTATTATTTATGTATTTATTTTTTATATATTTTAAAAAATTAATAGACCCCATATAATTGTATCTACTCACCGTACACCTAAAACCACATTCGAGAAATTTAAGCTCGGTCCCACCAATCACCATCCCATCTCTCATCCTCCTCAACTTCTCTTTCCTTTCCATCTTTAATGACATCAACGTCTTCACTATCCCTTCTTTTTTCGGTCCTTCAACTCCGGAGAACCAACACCACAACCCTTATATTGGGTTGTGGTGGTGGAAAATTCAATGAAGAGACAGTGGGTTGTAGGGTTGGTTCGTTGTAGTTGAAAGACCGAAAATATAAGGGATGATGAAGACGTCAATATCACTAAAGATGGAAAGGAAATAGAAGTTGAGGATGAAGAGAGATGGGATGGTGACCAGTGGGACCCAACTTAAATTTCTCAAATGTGGTTTCAGGTTTAAGGTGAGGAGATGCAGGTATGTGGGGTCTATTAATTTTTTTAAATATATAAAAAATAAATACATAAATAATAAAAAAAAATTAAAAAGGGCACAATAGTCTTTTGAGGTAAGACAGGAACCAAACGCACAACAAAAATAAAAAGTAAGGATCATCAGAGTTAGAAAATAAGTTAGGGACCAAACACACAAATTACCGAAACCACAGGGACCATTCGTGTAATTTACTTACCTTTTCGGTGTATTCACATCTGGGTAACAATCTTTTTTTTACACATCTAGGTAACGAACTTTTTGGAAGTGTTTACATATGACCATTATGACCGGATATAACCTGCTATAGCCGGTCATAATGGTCATATGTGAACACTTCCAAAAAGTTCGTTTCCTAGATGTGTACAAAAAAAAGATAGTTACCTAGATGTGAACAAACCGAAAAGTTAATTACCTTATTAAGTCCATTTCCCTACGTATTTTTGTAAGCATAATATGTATTTATATGTTTTTTAGAAGTATAATTAGATTTTTTTAGAGGTACAAATCTGTATTTTTACGTTTTTAGAACTATAACTACGATTTTTCATATAAACATGCTTTTGATTGATATGCTTCTACTTACATTTTTATACTTCTAGAAGATCATTAATATTTCTAAAAAATATATTTATATTTCTAAAACATGTAAAAATGAGTATTTATACTTCTAAAACAACATATTTATACAATGTTTAATTAAACTTTTTTTTCGTGTATAGTTATGTTTTTTCTACATGAATACGTATAATATGAAAAAAAAAATCATACTTAAGGTAAAAACGTAAAAGATTTGTGAACATAAGGTTTTCTTTTTTGCAAATTTGAGTTCATGGTAACATGGAAACTGTTATTACAACTAACAAGGGAAAAAATGAAAAACTTGGCAAACTTTGGGTATAAACGAGCAAGAAATCATGACACGGATAAAACCAACAAAATTTGCCAACCTTAAGGACTTTCATGTCAAAAGCCCTTATGTATTAGGAGTAAATGCTGAAATTCCGTGGCATAAGTTATTTGACATATAGCATAACTTATGAAATAAATTTCGGGTGAGAATGTACAACGTAAATGGGATGGAGCATTACGAAATAATGAAAAAAATCATGTTTGTTTGCCACAAAGGAACAAATGGAGAATTATCTCATGGAATGCAATTCCTTCTCACATGATTTTCATTGCATGGGGGAGGGGTGTTCTTTTTTTCATTCTTTTAGGGACCGGAATGATATATTTTAATTATAAATTACTTTTATTCATATAATATTCAATAATACTAATCTTTCTTATTAAGTTTTAATATGTTAATTAAACTATTTTTTGGTATTTATATTTTTTATAAATATATTTTATGATTACATGCTAGTTTTGAGTTTGTAAACAATATTGTAATTGATATATATATATATATATATATATATATATATATATATATATATACATACATTTTTTTACTATTTGAAATACACATAGAACATAAGTTAAACGAAATGAAATATGCTTATATGTATTTTATTTAAGGATATACCTTTATTTGATTAAATACAATAACATTTTTTTATTGATCAATTTAATTTTTATTTAGTTTTTAATCTAATGCATAAGAAAAAACATGTTTGAATGACTCATTCCATTTTTTCAACCAACCTAACATGACTATGAAATGTAATGATCAATTTTATTACCTCATTCATTCCATTACTTCGAGATTCCATTCCCATCGTAGCAAACAAAATTACTTTTTCATTATTTTCACTATGTGGTTTATCGATCTAGAGAATTGAGAGAAAAGAGTCAAGCTGTGGAACAAATCCTATGGAAATTGAATTATGAGCTTTTAAATTAAAGAGTTGAGAAAGGGAGTTTGCTTAAGTTTTGTTTTGTGGTGAAATTTCCTCCACTTATTGTAAGAAAAATCTCAATGTAGAATATTGAGTAAAACATTAGTTTCTATAATGTGTTTGTGGAAAAACTAACTCACATTATCTTCGAATTGTAGCTTGTATTATACATTCAAAGGAGTTTTTTATGACCAAAAAAATGAAAAAGAAAAGTGTAAGGACTAGTTATGAGATTTTCTACATGGTAATCTGTTCAATTACGAGTTCTTACGAGATTTTCCTACATGATAACAGGTTTTATTGGAAACTCACATTTCTCTGTATGAGGTTTTGTTCATTGAGGTGCTTAGACCACTTACATTCTATCTCAAGCAATTAACACATCGATGGCATCATCATCAGCAGCTTCTCCTTCCTCTCCTGCTCTTTCTTCTCAGTCATGGAAGTACCATGTTTTTCTTAGCTTCAGAGGAGAAGATACTCGCAATACTTTTGTGGGTCATCTCTACTCAGCTCTTGAACAAGAAGGTATCTACACATTCAAAGACAACGAAACACTTCCCCGAGGAGAATCAATCCACCCATCCCTTATGAAGGCTATTGAAGAATCACAAATAGCCATCATTGTATTTTCAAAAAACTATTGTGATTCATCGTGGTGTCTGGATGAACTTGCACATATTATGAAATGCAGGGATACGAGAAGCCAGATTGTTATGCCTATATTTTATGATGTGGATCCCTCTGAAATACGAAAACAAAAACAGCAGTGCGGAGAAGCATTTGCTGAACACGAGTTTGAGAACAAGACCAAGGTTGAATCTTGGAGAAAAGCACTTGTGGATGCAAGTAATATTTCTGGATGGGAACCCAAGCACATTGCCAACGGGTAATTTTCTTCTTTTTTTTGCACCTTTTTTGTTTACGACATATATGTGTGCTCTACAACTCATTTATACTTGTACCTTATATGTTTTTAAAACAAATGTTTTAATTAGTCTTAATGAAGTTGATGACCATGATAAACAAAGAGGTTTTGACTTAATCACTTGATCAAAGAGCCGAATATAAACCTGGTGGAGATTATGGTTGGCTTTCAGTAGATGTGGTTTCTTATCATAGTGGGCAAGTTAAAAGATATCCCAAGTATTAGGATTATGTATAAGCTCAAATTAAGTTATGATGTAATTGGTTGTGTTTTAGCTCTAATTTAGTTTTAACAACTCACTTCAAGCTATGGTGACAAATCCATCTTGCTTTACTTTTTGCTATTTGAAACTATTTCATATTTCCTGAGAAAATTGTTATATATTACTTCTATGTGATATTTGACTTTACAAGTTATATTTGGATGAGAAAGATAAAAGGTAATTAGGACTCCTTTTCTTTATTTCATGGAAGATGAAACAAGTGCCTCTTTTGTCAAAGTGTGTACGTTAATTATCCTTCTAAATCGGATGTGTAGGCATGAATCAAAAGGCATCAAACAAATTGTTGCCGAAATTTCGCAGAAGTTGCATCGAGTAACTTCAAGTGAAAATGAAAACCTGATCGGAATGGGGTCTCGCTTGCAAGCTTTGAGATTGGAGTTACAAGTTGGGTCAGGTGGTGTGCGCATGGTTGGAATATGGGGGGTTGGGGGTGGTGGTAAGACTACTCTTGCTTCTTCCATATATGATGAAATCTGTAGGCAGTTTGATGGTTGTTGCTTTGTTCAAAATATTCGAGAGGAATCAAGCAGGTATGGTTTGGGAAAGTTGGAAGGAGAGATTCTTTCAAAAATGGGAGTAAACAATGTTGGAGGAGGAAGATGCATGATTAAGGATAGGTTGTGCCATAAAAAGGTGTTAATTGTTCTAGATGATGTCGATCACCTTGACCAACTAAAAACGTTGGCTGGATCACATGATTGGTTCGGTGAAGGAAGTCTAATAATAATAACAACCCGTGATAAGCATTTATTAGCTGCACACCAAGTAAATGTGATGCACAATATTAGCTTGTTAAACAGTGACGAGGCTATGAAGCTTTTTTGCAAACATGCACCCCAAGATAACAGACCTGTGGAAGATTATCAGCAACTTTCAAAAGAAGTGGTGTCTTATGCTGGTGGGCTTCCATTAGCACTTACAGTTCTTGGTTCTTTTCTGCGTGACAAAGACATCAATGAGTGGAGGAGTGCATTAGCCAGACTGAAAGAGATCCCAGATAGTGATATTCTGGAAAAGCTAAAAATTAGCTTTGATGGGCTTAAACCGGTTGAGAAAGAATTGTTCCTTGATATTGCGTGTTTCTTTAGGAGGGAGGATAAAGATAAGGCAATGAGAATCCTTGAGGCTTGTGGTTTTCATCCTGTTATAGGAGTGAAGGTTTTGATACAAAAGGCTCTCATAACCATTTCGTATGGATTGTTTGATATGCATGACTTGGTGCAAGAAATGGGACACCACATTGTTAGAGGGGAACACCCTAACAATCCTGAAAAACATAGTAGGTTGTGGAAGAAGGAAGATATTTTTAAGATATGTGCTATGGATGCAACAACGGTATTGGTTAAACTAGCTTTGCATGATTATCATGTATTTATAAACAAACACTTTTAACTCAACCCTCACACCAATTTGTTCCTCTATCACAGGAGCTTGATATGATTGAAGCAATAAGATTTGAATACAGCAGTAAGGATCAGTTACAAAGGCATAAACATCATCCTGCGATTGTTGCAAATACTAAGAACCTTAGGTGGATTGATTGGGAAGGTGATCTTGCAAATCCATTTCTTTGTAACTTTCCACAAAAGACGCTTTGCTATCTAAGATTGAATAACAGCTTGCAAAGACAACTTTGGGAGGGTTATAAGGTAATTCTTATTGTCTATTTAATTAAGAGATGTAAAAAAAGTGATGATGAATGATAGACCTAACTAAAGCTATATTTTTGTTGATTGATAACCATTATAAGACATTGATGTAAATCATTTGTGTTCAAAAAATCCTTTATTATCTTGCTTTTAGTAAGAGATATTTAGATTGTTAATTAAACAAACACCTCACTAATGATTTCCATGTACACATGGAAGAAATTAGGTTTTTGTGTAATTATAATAATATATATGTATATGTGTGTGTGCGTGCGTGCCAAAATTTTGACTTGTTTGCACTTGTATACAACAGTTGCTGCCAAATTTGAAGACAATTGAACTTCAGAGTTTGCGTAACCTAATAACGATACCAGATTTTGATGGACTTCCAAATCTTGAAAAATTCGTTCTTAGTGGATGTTTATATTTAGAAGAGATTCATCCATCGATTGGACGCTTGGAAAGGCTTGTTTCCTTATCCATATCAAGTTGTTCCAGTCTTAAAAGGTTCACACCCATTCCCGGACTACAGAAACTTGAGATCCTTTCATTCACAGGGTGCAGCAAACTTTTTAAGTTCTCAGAGATCCAAGAAGAGAACATGGAGAATTTACCACGTCTTGATTTGGATAATAGAAGGAAAGAAGTTGCATCTTATATAGAATCATGTACAAACTTTTTTGTTAATTGTTGGAGGTGTTGTTGCAGCAATATTCCTGGTGTAAAATGTTGTTCACAGGAGCCTTTAGCTCAAAACAACATGAAGACTTGCTTACGTGACAACAACATGAACAACATAGGGTTACAGTTTTTTCTGAGAGACTTACGAGAGTTGGATCTCAGCTACTGCAGATTAGGAGATGAAAGCATGAGATCTGCTATTTGGGAGTTACCCAACTTGCGAAAACTCGATCTATCAGGAAATAAATTTTCACGGTTGAATCTTAGTCCCTTGCGACTTCCTCGGCTCAAATGCTTTGATGTGTCATGCTGCAAAAACCTTGTAGAATTGTCAGAGCTGCCATCAAGTATAGCTGTTGTTATAGCGGATGGTTGTAAGTCACTTGAAAGCTTTGGAGATATTTCAAACTGCAAATGGTTGTGGAAAGTCTCACTTCGGCGTGGGAACAAATTTTTTGGTTACATATTACTAGATTCCATGATCCAGGTTTGGCTCTATTTACCATTTAAATTCCAATCTTTATTATACAAACCCAAGCATAATAAAAGGATCATAAATGAATGTGTTTTCCATGGCAGGGAAATGCCAGTGAAGATTACTTTATCAGTTTCATTATTGAACATCAGATTCCAAAGGTGTTTATAGGTAGGCTGTTTAGGGGGAGAACATTTACGCCACGTCTTCCAGATGATTGGTACAGTAACTTTTGTGGGTTCTTAATATGCGTTGTTGTTAACCAAATGCCATATCCGGATATTGATATAGTCATCAAGCAGGAGGTAGATGAAGATTCTCTATTTGAGCTTTGGCAGGAGCCTAATGAAGTAATCAAGCCTGAATTTGATAAAAACACAACATATATAGGATATGTTTCCTTTGGTTCATTGAGACACACCGGATTTTCGAATTCATTATACACTACAATATCAGTTTCCTTGGACAGCAGGTATAGGAATTCGTCAAAAGGTCAGAGTTATGTTGGGGCTGAGCTTGTCCCTAGGAAAAGTAAAGGTGATCAGCTACAAACAACAAAAGTCGCAACAGATTCCTCAGAATATTGGGATGAGGAAGCTAGTAGTATAAAGACATTTAAGATCAAACGTGGTTCAAAGTCTTCTATCAAGATTCTATGGCGACCTTGGGACAAGTGGTTCTGACAACCTCTTAGTGATTTGTTTATAAGTTTGTGGCTTTCTTTGTGTTCCTTCATGCGACCATTGTTAATTCTTTCCCTATTTTCCAGTACTTCTACTTTTAGGGTTTTCTTGCTTTCTTGGACACTGTTTTGCTACATTAGTTTTGTTTTGAGGCTTTTATTCCAATTAGTAGTTGTTTTAATATCGTTTACAAAAATAAAAAATATCCTTAATATATGGATATCTTAGCATAATTTGTTGTGATTGTATTAAAAAAGTTTATATTGCTTAAAATGTTTTGTTTTCAAAATTTTAGTAGAACTTCATCATTTATAGTGCCTTCTTTTGACATATCAGATTACTAATACACCATAATCAATGAAGTTTAATCATAATGAAACTGCTTCTGTTTTTTACATAAAATTCCAATTAATGATGTTTTGCTTTTCTTACCAACATGACACAATAGAAATAAAGATAAGTTGTTTCACACTTTATGTAATATCTATTACTTTTAGGTCTACACCAAAAGGCCTTTGATCTAGAGTTGGCCTCATTGAGGTTGAGGGTTTTAGTCTCATCTCAAACATATCTTCATGTCTAACAAAAAAATGAATTTTGTGCCATGTGGCATATCCTAATTATGCTCCAAAATTTCAAAGTGAAATAACTAATATGCCCTTCAGTTTTTAAAACCCGCATGGCATATCCTCCTTCCATTGCAGGTAAACACCAATCCATCTCTTATTCTCCTTCACAGCCCTTCTACATTCCTTAGATTTTTTATTTGGGAATTACGATTGCTGCTTAATAATTATACAAATGTTTTCACATTAAATTCAGCTTCAGGTTCTAATATGATTGTGTTTCTTGTTGGTGATTTGTTATCATCAATGTTATTTAAGTGTAATGGGATTACTTTCTTGACTAAAAGTGATTTTGATAAATATTAAACAAGAAAGGAAGGTGTGGAGTACACACTTGTTTAAGTGTGATCAAGTATCAAAGTATACTGTCATTTAGGGGCGAAGCCCTTGAACGAACGGGGGTCCGGGGGCAGCGCCCCTGGGAGTGGGGTCCAAGGGGCGGCAGAAATCTGAATTTTGGAAATAAACCTGGTTTTTGACTTTGTTTTGACCCTTATATAAATAACCCGGATTAGTAACAGTTTTCAGACATAAAACTGTTTTTTGTGACAGTTTTCAGACATACAACTGTCTGGTGATAGTTTTCTGATGGAAAAACTGATTTAACTAATTTTGGTCTTCATTTGATGGTACTCACGAAATTCATAACACCCAGATTCCCTGTTCTTTTCACTTCTGAGTCTTATCCAATCAAAGATTAGGGAGTACTACCCAAATACTTTGATTTGAAAGTGGAATAACACCCAGATTCTCTGTTCTTTTCTGTTCTTTGCAAGTGCCTTTATTACCTCGAATTTCTAACATTTCTTGCCTTCACCAGACCGGTTCGAGGTGATGAAGGACCATCATCGGTTTTGGTGGGGAAGAATATGACAGAAGTGGAATGGCTAAGGAGAAGCTCTGAAGCTGACACATACCTTATTTGGGGATGATGATGGTAGATATTAAATACACCAAAGCTTATTGTTTGATTGCAATAAAATAAATTGCGTTTTTGAGATATTTTCAAATTGCCCATAATTTCTAGGTCCATTTATAGGTGATAGTTCTGAAGAACTACTGGATGAGGGAAAGGATGCTTCGCTCAGTGAAGATGAAATGGCCAATTTCATTTTTGAAGAAGTTGAAACAGCTGAACCTGCTGCTCCATCTAGGTGTGGCTTTTGTTGCTTAATAATTATATGGTTGTTTTATCGTTATATTTTGGTTAATTATCAACTCCTGGAAATTGTAGGATCAATTGAACTTGTGTAAGGAGAAGCTCCATGGGTCTTTAAATTTGAGCAAAGGTAAGTTTTTTCCCGAATAGTTTATTTTAGTTCCAAAGTATGGAACTCGTAAGGAATCTAACTTTAATGGCATCTTAATTTGCAAATTGTCATGTGAATCTTTCGTTTTGATTTCTTGAGTATTATATACGTTTAATTGGAGACATGTGGAAAAATGATTTTAACTCCATTAAAGGTTAGAGACCATATTTAAAAAGATTATTTATTATTTAAAACCAAAATTTGTAGAATATGAAATGAACATATGTTTTTCTTGGTATGACATGTAAAAGGAACTTGAGGTGACCCGAGCACTAATAGACATTGTTTTGCCCAAAGTAGGAAACTGATCCAATTTCAACAGGGCTGGGCAAAGGAAGAAGCTGATGTGTATAGATGTTTAATGAGTTTAACTGTTAACCTTTATTGTTTAGATCATTATGATTACTACTAACACATATAATATTTTAATTAAATTGGAAGAAATATTGATTTTGTTTATCTTTTAGCTAAATGTTTTGTGATGCAACCCTCTGTAACCATGTCGTCGGAGATAGTGCTCGCCTCTTCCTCCGATTATAACGTCTCTGCCTCTGATTCGAACATAGAATAAACAAAGAGTATGATAGTTCTTCATTGAGAATGGAGAAGAAGGAAAGAGATCGATGGTTCTTCATATCTTTCTGGCAATGGCTTCCTCTATCACAAAATAGAGGAGGTAACCTTGCTCCAATGGTGTCTGATTAAGGATTTGGATTCATGGTGCCTTTTGAGGTGCAGATCGACTTCATGGGTATCTTGAAGCTTGTCGAAAGCATATGACTTTGTCTGCGGGTTCTACACTAATGAAAAAAAAAGAGAACGGGGAGAGGGATAGGTAGAGGGTGGTGAGAATAGGCTCAATTTCCTTTTTCAAATGATAAATAATACTCCATTCGTCCCAAAATTATAGTTTATCTTTCATTTTTGGTTTGTCCCCAAAATAATAGTCCACTTCTAAAAATAAATAACATTTTTATCAAAATACACCCTCATTATTATTTAACCAACTAAGTTTTTTAATAGAACATTAAATGTAAAGTAAGGACAAAACTGTCATTTTATTGTATAAAGTAAGTGGTAATTAATGCTTCATTAATCTGTATGTTTTTTTGTATGTGAACAATAATTTTGGGACGGATGGAGTATTAGATTAATAGGAAAATAAATACACATGGGTATTATGGTCATTTTAAATATGGTATGGACTAAAACCATAATAAAATTGTCTTTTAGGATGAAACGTGCAAGTTCAAACCAATCAAAGACACTCCGAATTAATTTTTGAAATATATTTTAGCAAATGCAACAGGGACTATTATTAATCTAATTTACCTAAAACAATATTATTAGTAGTTCCGCTGGTTAAATTTTGGTTTAAACATTCCTTTAGTTCAGCGTCCACCAGATGTTTGACGAAATGCCAACGAGACTTTGTGTTGAGTTCATGGCTGAAAGCGGTCTCTGAAACTTCCACTCAACCCTATCGAAGTTAACGACTCCATCTCCGGGCAAATCGAAGAGTGTTATGGGAAAATATCATCTTTAGTTACGGTATCTTGAGAATTTTATCCTGATGATGAGTTGAACGACTGTGGGGTTTCCGGTGAGGATGCAGTTTGACCGAAAGGCGGGCACATCATGAAGGTGAATATGGGAGAGTTTTAGATGGCGTCGTAGGTCCCACCAATGACATCACATATAATTTTCTTCCTTTTTAACCTGCTCCGTCCAACAACTGGAGACCAGAGACGAAGCAGAGTGGTTTCCTCGATCCGGTGGTTTTGATTTTGGAATAAGGCTTCGGTTTCAATATATTTACTGTCTTGATTTTGGGTTTTGATTGGTTATAAGGTAGAATTTCGATTTTGAATTTTTTGTTTGGATATTGTGTTAATGTCTCGTTTTGTTGGTAGCTTCATCATCATCCCTTCTCCAACATCTATAGGTTCCACCCACGAATCCAAGTTTCTACATCGTGACTCTATCATCACATCTTCTCAAATCAAAATCTTTGCAATTGGCAATGTTTGAGTGATAATGAACACATATATTTGAATCATGAGTAATAATAAATTAGTGTTTTGGAAGGTGGGTTCAGACTGCAGCAAAGTTGTCTGGAAGAAGAAGTCTAGTTTTACATAAAAAAAAACCATCTGAACAACAATGGTGGGTTGAATTAAGATAAACCCCCCACTACCACCCAGTCAAAGAAATGCAGGGGTACAAGCTGCTAATGCATGAGGTACAACTAATTACAAGTCTATTGGATTCTCCTCCCACACACAGAAACATGTGATTTTGGCCCTAACCTGATACATATTTTGTATAAAAAACAACATTATTGCATGAATCGTCAAAAAAGGTAAGAAGTTCTTGGCTTCGATCTTGCATAGTTAAGTATTTAACTTTTTTATTCATAATAATAATAATAATAATAATAATAATAATAATAATAATAATAATCACCTTACCAACTCGTGCCACATCATTGATGATCTCTATCTTGAATATGATGCTGACATGATGTGAAAACAACTCCCTTTATATTGAAAATATATAGTGATAAGATATTATTTAGTTTTTGTTGATTGGAAATTTCATGGAAACTCCTAATTAAGGAGGTACCCACTATCTTTTATTTTTCAATGTGTAAACACTTCACTTTATATAAAATATCAAGTGATGAGAAATCTCTTGGAAACTTACATCTCTCTTTCTCTGTATGTAGTTCATTTCACTGAGGTGCTCAAACCACATCTCAACAAATCAACACATACATGGCATCTTCATCTTCTCGTTCTGTACCCACCTATCCTTCTCAATCATGGAAGTACCATGTTTTTCTTAGTTTTAGAGGGGAAGATACTCGCAATACTTTTGTGGGCCATCTCTACTCAGCTCTTGAACAAAAAGGAATTTACACTTATAAAGACGAGAAAAAACTTCCCCGGGGTGAGTTGATTGGTCCATCCCTTATGAAGGCTATTGGAGAATCACAGATTGCCATCATCGTATTCTCTGAAAACTATGCAGATTCTTCATGGTGCTTAGAAGAACTTGCCTATATTATGAATTGCAGGGAAACGAGAGGCCAAATCGTTATTCCCTTATTTTATGATGTGGAGCCCTCTGAACTGAGAAAACAAAAACAGAAGTATGGAGAAGCATTTCTCAAACATGAGCTGGAGAATAAGACTAAGGTTGAATCCTGGAGAAAAGCACTTGTGGATGCAAGTAACCTTTCTGGATGGGACATTGCCAACAGGTAATTTTCTTCAATATTTTTGCATTTTTTATGCTAAAGACATGTGTAGTCTGCAAGACATTTATACTTGTACCTTATAAGCTTTTTATACAAACGTGTTGATTATTCTTGATGATGCTGTTGATAAACAGAGGCTTTGACTAGATCACATGATCATTTTGGTAAGTTGAAAGATAGATGCATGTGATGGCAACCAGGTTATGTAGGATTACGTGAAGTTCATGTGATCTAGTATTATGGATAAGCTCAAAATTAGTTATGATTTAATTCATTGAGTTCTAATTCTAATTTTTTTTCTTAATGCCTCACTTCAAGTTAGAACGACAAATCCATTTTGCTCTACTTTTTGTTATTAAAAGCGACAAATCCATTTTGCTCTACTTTTTGCTATTAGAAGCTAATTAATTGATATTGCCCAAGAAATTTTTTTCCAACAACTTGTGATGTTAGTTTACAGTTTCTATTTTGAATGTGAAATATAAAGGGTAATTAAGACTTTATTTTTTAATTTTTTTTTTCTAGTTTATGAAAGCCTGAAACGAATCACCTCTTTTGTGAGTATGTTTTAATCATCCTTGTATATCCAATGTGTAGGCATGAATCAGAGTTCATCAAAGAAATTGTCAGCAAAATCTCAAAGATGTTGCATCCACTAACTTCAAGTGTGAATGACAACCTGGTTGGAATAGAGACTCGTGTGCAAGATTTGAAATCAAGGTTGAAAATTGGGTCAAGTGGTGTGCTCAAGATTGGAATATGGGGGGTTGGGGGTGCTGGCAAAACTACTCTTGCGTCTTATTTTTATGATGAAATGTCTAGGGAGTTTAATGGTTGCTGTTTTGTTGAAAATATTCGAGAGGAATCAAGCAAGTATGGTTTGAAAAAATTGCAAGAAAAAATACTTTCAAGTATTTTGAAACACAATGAAGTGCTAGGCGGGGTTAAGGAAGGTTCACAGATGATAAAGGATAGGTTATCCCATAGAAAGGTGTTGATTGTCCTTGATGATGTCGATCAACTTGACCAACTAGAAGCATTGGCTGGATCACATTATTGGTTCGGTGAAGGAAGTCTAATAGTAATCACAACTAGAGATGAGCATTTATTAACTGCTTATAAAGTAGATGTTATACACAATATTAGATTGTTAAACGATCATGAGGCTATTCAGCTTTTGTGCATCCATGCACCCCGGGATAAGATACCTATGGAAGATTATGGGCTACTTTCAAAAGAGGTGGTCCGGTATGTTGATGGGCTCCCATTAGCACTCATAGTTATCGGTCGTTTTTTATGTGACAAAAACTTGAATGAGTGGAGGAGTGCCTTGTTTAGATTGAAAGAAATCCCACATGATAAGATTATGGAAAAGCTAAAAATCAGCTATGATGGACTTACAAGGGTTGAACAAAAGTTGTTCCTAGATATTGCATGCTTTTTTAGGTGGGAGAAGAAAGATAGGGCAATGGAGATGCTTGATGCTTGTGGTTTTCATGCAGTTATAGGAGTAAAGGTGTTGATGCAAAAGGCTCTCCTAAATATATCGAATGGAATGTTTGATATGCATGATCTGGTGCAAGAAATGGGACACCACATTGTTAGAGGAGAACACCGTGACAATCCTGAAAAACATAGTAGGATTTGGAAGGAGGAAGATGTTGTAAGCATATGTGCTATGGACGCAACAACGGTAATGATTAAGATAGCTATTCATCGTATATATGTAAGTATAAAGAAAGAAAGATCTTTTAACTCAACCCCGACACCATTTTGTTCCTCTATCACAGGAACTTGACATGATTGAAGCAATCAGATTTAAACACAATAGTGTGGATCACATACAAAGGTATAAACATCTTCATCCGTTTGTTGCAAACACGAAGAACCTTAGGTGGATTGAATGGCAAGGTGATCTTCCAAGTCCATTGCTTACTAACTTTCCACAAAGGAAGCTTTGTTGTCTAATATTGCATAACAGCTCTCGTACACAACTTTGGGAGGGTTATAAGGTAATTCTTATTGTCTATCTATTATGTCATTTGTCTTGAGAACAGATGGCTTCTTAAAATATAACTTGTTTAAATTGAGTCATCAGTCGTATAATGTCATTATGTAAAGCTCGTCCACATAAATACTCTTTTGTCTTATCATAAATACAGAAAATTTTCATTTGTTTTCTTGAAAGCTAGTACTGTATTATTACTTAGGGCATCCACCATCCATTGAACTGTATAGAGTTCAATGGATTGCCACATCATCCATTATACATCTATACAACATCACCCACAACCCATTAAACACCTATTCAATCCTGATCACCACTTTATTCCTTCTATTGAACCATTCAATGATCATTGAACTCCTCCATTCAACTCCACTCCATGTCATGACCCACACCTCATTCAACTCTTATTCAATCCTAATCACCACCCTATTCAACTCTTATACTACTTGCATTGTGGATGCTCTTAGGTAAGATTTCAGTCTAACTCTATTCTTTCTGTTTGTTGATAATCATTATAGAACATTAAGATCAATGTTGTTAAAATCGTGCTCCTGAATAGGATCGTTCGATCGTATGATCTTACCATACAAATATGATCTCAATCTTGATAGGGTCGGTTTAGGTGTAAGACTGGTATAAGATCATTAGTGAATAAGATCGTTAATAATATTTATATATTAAAAAGTAAAAAAAAAAAACATTTATAAAATGATATTTTTCTTTATCCCTTTTATTGAGGTTTTTATAATCTAATGGAACATTTTAGATTGATTTATATATAAACGAATAAAAAATATAATTTATATTTAGGTTTTATCTTTTTTATTCACTCTCTTTCCTATTTTATTAAAACATGTAAGCTGGTTTTACCATAGAATAGGGAAATAATAATTATACAATATTTACCATGTTAGATTTATACAATCTTTATATAACTTGTCATGAATAGATGAATGTAGAGGATCAAATGGAGTTTGCTTGTGTTGTATGTTTGTATTCCTTAGTGCTTGAAATTTGGACCTAAGATTTTTTGAAATATTTAAGTTCAAAGTTCAAATATTTTTAGAATTTGTTGGATAATTAATCTTGATATATATTACAAATCATACACAAAAAAAAAAAAAAAAAAAAAAAAAAACCTACATTTTTAGTAGGATCCTGTTCTGATCTTGATCTTGCAGAGAGTATAAAATGATGTAATATCTCAATCTTGACAACCTTGATTGACATAATCGATTTGGGTTAAAAGATATATTATTTTGTTTTTATTTAGTGATTTCTAAATATTTAAGTAAACAATGTAGTTCTTCAAATGATTTTTGATTATGGACATATAGAAATAGTAACTGATTGACACACACACAACTCTCTCTCTCTCTCTCTCTCTCTATATATATATATATATATATATATATATATATATATATATA